CCCACGGGGACACCCCTGTCACTGGGAACACCACCACTCACGGTGACATCTGTGTCCAAAGCGATGCCACCATGTGTGGTGGCGTGCCAGCCCACGGTGACACCCCTGCTCGCGGTGACGCCGTTGGCCTGCGGTGATGTCCTTGCCCATGGTGGCCTCCACGCGCACAGAGGTGCCTGTGCACAGTGACGCCATGCTGCTGGTGACACCCATAGCCAAGGGGACCCCGCCATGGGGACACCATGTGCTGGCACTGACCCTCTGCCCACCGCGATGCCCATGCCATGTCACCGGTGGTGGCACCGTGCCCATGGCGATACCCGTGCCTGCAACGACACGGTGCTGGCGGTGACCCATGGGGTGCCCATCTTGACACCCTGCCCATGGTGACACTGAGGTGACACCGCAGGCTGGCCGGGAGTACTCGCCCGCAGCCACCACCTCGGAGAATGGGGGCGGCAAGAGGAAGCAGAAGGAGAAGGAGCTGGATGAGCTGAAGAAGGAGGTGAACCTGGTAAGGACAGTGACAYGGGGGCCGAGCGGGCGCGGGTGGCACCTCTCCCTGGGCTGCTGTGACACCGGGGTCGTTGTCCCCACGCAGGATGACCACAAACTGTCCCTGGATGAACTGGGCAGGAAGTACCAGGTGGATCTGTCCAGGGTAAGACGTGGTGCTGTGTCCCCTGCCTGGTGGGGCCTCCGTGTCCCCTACTGAGCACCCTGCACCCCATGTCCCCCATGCCACCATGTCCCCTACTGGGGCACCCTGCACCCCATGTCCCCCATGCCACCATGTCCCCTACTGAGCACCCTGCGCCCCATGTCCCCCATGCCACCATGTCCCCTCATGTCCCCCATGCCACCGTGTCCCCTACCTGGGCACCCTGCACCCCATGTCCCCCATGCCACCGTGTCCCCTCATGTCCCCCATGCCCCCATGTCCCCTACTGGGGCACCCTGCACCCCATGTCCCCCATGCCACCGTGTCCCCTACTGAGCACCCTGCACCCCATGTCCCCCATGCCACCGTGTCCCCTCATGTCCCCCATGCCACCGTGTCCCCTACCTGGGCACCCCGCATCCCCGCTCCCCATGGCGCTGTCCCCTGCCTTGGTGGCCTCACAGTGTCCCCCACCAGGGCCTGACCAGCGCGCGGGCGGCCGAGATCCTGGCGCAGGACGGCCCCAACGCGCTCACGCCGCCGCCCACSACGCCCGAGTGGGTCAAGTTCTGCCGCCAGCTCTTCGGGGGCTTCTCCATCCTGCTCTGGATCGGYGCCATCCTCTGCTTCCTGGCCTACGGCATCCAGGCCGCCATGGAGGACGAGCCCTCCAACGACAACGTGAGGCCACCCGCGGCCCGTGGGAACAGCGTGGGGACGCGGGTGGCATGGGCACGGCGGCGGGTGGGCGTCATGGGCGCCCCGGTGGGGCTGCAGGGGACACGGGCACCGTGGGGACCAGCTGGCACCGGGGGGACGTGCCACCAGGACGCGCTCACGTGTCACCTCTGTGGCCAGCTCTACCTGGGGGTGGTGCTGGCCGCCGTCGTCATCGTCACCGGCTGCTTCTCCTACTACCAAGAGGCCAAAAGCTCMAAGATCATGGACTCCTTCAAGAACATGGTGCCCCAGGTGGGACCCGGGGGTACCGCGACAGGGTGCTGCGCCCCTACACCACCATGGCACCCCTGGGTGCCCACGGGTGCCCCATGGTCCTGTCCCCCACCCATGGCACCCCTGGACCCTCATGGCTACCCCATGGTCCCATCCCCCCACCCATGGCACCCCATGGGTGCCCCATGGTCCTGTCCCCCCCCCATGGCACCCCTGGGCCCTTATGGTGCCCCATGGTCCTGTCCCCCACCCAGGGCACCCCTGGGCCCTTATGGTGCCCCATGGTCCTGTCCCCCCCCCATGGCACCCTTGGGCCCTTATGGTGCCCCATGGTCCTGTCCCCCCACCCAGGGCACCCCTGGACCCTCACGGGTGCCCTGTGCTGTGACTTCCCTAATGTCTCGTATTCTTGGGATGGGAGATGGCTCGACCTGAGGGGTGTGCCCGGTTAGACCCCCGGCACCCCACGGCACGGGGGGGACACCTGGCACCGACGGCA